CCCAAAGATGTAATTCCACATTTCGTTTTGATGATGGTATATTTTGTAATTTTAAACTTTTTAAGACAGGAAGGAACAGTGACAGGAAGACTGATAGGTTAGATTGCGGGTATGCTTTCATGGCATGTCTGTTCAAATGAGTCCTACACACCATAGAATTTGCTTAAAGCATCAAATAGAAAGTAAACCGATTATTGAAGAAACACGCATTTTGTTTGAATTTAAAATATTTTCATTTTGACGAACCAACAAAATTTTAAGTGCAGGGTGACCCCAAAAAAAACCAGAACACTCCAAAAATGAAATAATTTCTTTAAAATACATTTTTAAATGAGAGCTTCATTTTTCATATAAAAACTACAATCTATGGATGACAATGTGAAACCAACTTTGTTACATAGCATTCAATGTTTTTCTTTTTATGGTCAATTAAAAAATGTGCCCACTTTTAAAAGAACAAAAAAAGATTTTCGTAAGATTTTCGTGTCAACCAAAAGGTTACCGTCTTCTTCGGAAATTTCTTCTGAATTTCTCATAAATCTCAAGATATGATTTTGTCTCAATGTTGATTTTCCTAAAATTGACACATTCTAAGATCATCCATGATATCCCAAATAATCAATATTGTGTGACAAATTTGATATCATATTATCATCCATAGATTCTAGTTTAGATAAAAAATTAGCTTGATGGGATAGGTATTTAAGAAATTATCACATTTTTAGAAGGTTCTGTTTTTTGAGGTCACCCTGTACCCAGGGGTTCAACAGGCACATGGTGCTGTTCACTCCCTCTACTGCTAGTTTTTCTCATTTTTCTAAGTTACATACTTCCCTTCTGAGTGTCTGTTGATACCCTTTGTAAAAAGAAACGTGAAATAACTGGGATGCATTCATTGTCTACCAATATGAAGACTTTGTCACTTGGGTTATTGTAACAATAGCAAAAGAACAAAGACAATACTTCCTGATGAACCATATGCTGCCGTGGTACTATGTTATTCAAGTAGACAGAACTACTATGCATTTTTGATCAAAATATTAAAATGTGACTTGACCTCAATGAGGATGTTATGAAAATGACAATTTCTTCAACTTAAGATCTGTGATGCTGTTACACTTTACAACTAGATGAGAACAAGGACAACTTCAATCTCATTTGAGTGACCTACTTGAGATCATTATTATATGAATACCGTTATGTGGCACCTAATACTCCCTCTTGGGGGGGGGGTCATAGCCACTACAACCAGTAAATATGTAACATTGATTTTAATAAAAAATAAATAAATAAAAGTCAATTGCTGCTACTGCACTAAAATCATAATTTTATTTTATATTAGCTTTATCCATGCAGATTTTCAAAATTGATTACACACTAGAATAAAAAAAATAAAAATAAAATATGGGTTTCTTGCAATCCCTTCCTAATAAATTTCCACCTACTTACCACACTATATGAATCTGAATTTACAATTTCTTTTAATAAAAAAAATAGTCGTAAAATAAGGGAGACTGGCAAAATGGGCCCCTCTATTTTTCTCTGGCAACAACCTACTATAGCTGATTTGGCACCAATTTAAAAGATCATCATAAAATAGGGGAGACTGTGGCAAAAAAAGATTAGAATCGAGTGTACTGTTTTGTCACAGTTTCCAACGTTGATTTTTCTTTGAACTGGTGCCTAATCAGATATACAGGTTTCCCAGAGAAATACCGAGAGTCCCATTTTGTCGTCATTGCCAGGATAATTTGACAGGAAAACATGAGCATTCCATTCTCTCCTATGATTTTTTTAAGTAGGTGCCATATCAGCTTTACAGGTCCTTACCATGGTAATTACAAACATGCAACCTTCTATTTGATTATGACAGTTTCTCGCGAAACAAAATACATTGAAATCAGACCCTGGAATAAGCTGCATATATTTATGTATTAAATGAAAGCGTGTATGAGTGTTGAATTTTTGTTATGGATTTTGCCACTTATTGTTACCTGAAGATCATCCTACTGGGGTTAAAGACAATCAACAAACATAATGGTTTGTATTCTATTTTAGTGGTCATCTCCCTCAGAGAAACTCTGTAATATGTCATGATGAACTTTCATCTAGATTTATTGGCAGCAAGCAAAAATAATCATTGGTCAGAAAATATCAGAGAAACTTGGGTAAATTCCCTAGAAATATGGTTCATAGCATTGGAAATATTAAACACCAACATGGTTTAGCCTTGCACACTGTAAAAAGTTAACTTCATCTTACCCCCCCCCCCCCCCAAGTTCTTGATTTTATTTTTTCTTGCTTCGTGCTAGCAAGATAATTTTCAATTTCTGCCCAAAAATGGAATCATAAAGAAACAAAAATCCAAATGCACTGGTGATCCACTCGATTACGCTGGTTACCAAACGGTTCGTTTTGGTAACAAAATGTCGGAACATCGAAGGTAAGATTTTTCTTTTTTCCTTATTTCACACGTTGTAGGCAGAATTTCCCACGACATTTTTAACATAAAGCATAAACGGTTTTTCGAAAAACAGTTAAGATCTGCACTTTTAACCCAAACCGTTTATGTAACTTAAGTGAGGAATTAAATCGACGATTCTGTTGTCTTCTGAGCTATTTTTTTCGCAAACATGTACATTTTCTAAAACATATGATGCTGATATACATTTGTGAAAAAAAACGTTGTTGGGATTCTGCCTACAACATGTGAAATAAGGAAAAAAGAAAATCGCACCTTCGACGTTCCGACATTTTGTTACCAAAACGGTTCCAGCGTAATCGAGCGGATCACCAGTGAAATGCCTAAATATTTTCAATCACATATTTTAATGTGAATCAGATTGTATATAATCTCCAAGAATGTAAATCGTGCAAAAAAACTGAGTTCATAAACAAGAGACTGGAAATCTAATTTAAAATATATTTCCAAAATTGAAGAAAGCTTTATCAACAAAGCAACTACATGTAAATGGAGAATTGGTCGACTACATGGAATACAATTATAATTCCTAGAACACACATTGCATGTAATGTAACTTATGGCTCATCAAAATTAGATAGAGTTGGTTTTACCCAGTAAATTAATCAATCAATATATAAGCTATAATCCTATCAGTTTAGAATAATTGAGATCAAGAAATAATACCTCCTAGTTTTGAATCATGTCGCCTGTAGTACTCTTTCGTACCAACCTAGGCTACGACTTCTTTCACGAAACTATTGCAAGCATTCAATTGTATTTCATAATTTTGATAGATATACATGTAGCAACATCATTCTGAGACAGCTGAACATCAAACAATCAGATTATATATTTAAGAAATAGACCCTTGTTTGTTAAAAGTATAAAGATAGCATGTGATTGACTTGATGGAAAACCTTGAAATTAGTCATTGCAAAAGATCAATGGAATAGTATTGAAAAATGCTATTCAATTATTCATTGTGCTAGTATTTACAGTTGAAACTTTCATGAATATTTCATCATGATAGTAAGCAATAACTGTTGTTAACAATGACAGAAATCAAATATTTCATCAATACATGTGATGCGTATACAGTAAAACCTGTATATCCAAACACCTCTCAATATGAACACTTTTAATGGGCCCCACCTTTGTTATCTCCCATTAACTCACATACAAAGAAACCTTGAAATATGAAATCTGCTAATCTGAACACTTTTTGGCTGGTACCTTCGGATTAGACAAGTTTTACTGTATACGCAATGTTTATCACACCAATTTATGGTTCACTTCAGCTAAAAGTCATTCCAGGTGTGCAATTGACAATTGAAATGTGAACTATTCTTCATAAAACACGGATGTCATTGACAACTGTTCAATTCTGTACTTGTTTGAGATCGTATCAAGATGCCATATGTATGATGAAGGAAAAAGTTGGGTTTCATTTTGATATAGCACCTTCACCCACGGTAAAACCTGTGAATATATCTGAACACATCTCTTATACGACCACTTTTCAATGTGAACACACCTGTTTAAGACTTCCCTGTTAAAAAATCCTAAAAACACCTGCCAATCAAAAACAAGTGGCACTCACATTAAACAGGTTTTACAGTTCTATGTAAGTTCATCTCTCTGTTTATATATATTAAAGAAATGAATAAAGTAGGTTTTACTGTGTTTTGACATTATGACTACATTATTCTATACATCAAATATTTTAGCCTTCCCCTTCACAATATTGAGAAGTGATATTTAGAAGCATGATCCTATCTAGTATATTTCCTGGGGTAAATATATATATGAGGTCTTTAACAAATAATGCTGATTCTGACAGTGCCATTTAAATGCCCCAATAACTGCAACTTCACAAGGAGCAGTAGTTACAAAATGACTTTTACAAAGAAATTACAGATATTAGGAAGTCATTTGAAGTTACAAAGAAATTACAAATATTAAGAAGTCATTTGTCAAAAATATCAAATGAGCCAGGCCACAGGAAAGGGGGTCTTATCACAGATTTTTTCAATATTCTGATTTTTTGTTTATCTTAAAAAGCACAAAGAAACCTTTCAAATGAGCAATGGCTTATGTTCTAACAATTTTTCCTTGCATATTTGGACCAAAAAGTTTCTGAATTTAGCACATTTTCCTCTTAATCGTGGGCACATTTTTGGCTCTGTAGCACAATTTTAATTTTTGCAATAAGACCAGTTTTCCTATGGCCAGGCTCAAATATTGATTCCTTACACGACAATAGAGCCAAAAGACAATTTCATCTTGAATCACAATTCAAAATATTTTCAAGAAATGATCTACATGTACTTTATACTTGCAATTCAATGACAGGCAGCACTATTTATCAATGTGATAAAAACATTCTACCATAATGATAGGCTTATGTAGATACATAACATATACTCTACAGAAACCCAAGAATAATACAACTGACTGATAACATTTTCTTTTGACTGTTTTAGTTCTAAAAGACATGTTTTCTTTGACTCTACATTAAATTGACTCTTATTAGGTGAACTTAACCCGCCATTCACCTCTGTATGCTAAGACATTCTAAGAGTCAAGTTCAATAGAAACCAGATGACAGAACAATTACCCAGACAGTAAACAGGAAGAGATAATTTGGGGGACCATTTCTAGAAACAAAATATATTGTTTGTACGGTATGCCTTTCTCTTTATGTGTTCCTTTCTAGGATTTTACAAAAATGTTATCCTTCAAATTAATCCTTGTAATTTTTAGAAATGGCCCCTGAAAAACAAATATACTGTACTGTAGATTTATTATAACCTCTAAATCTGCATTATATTAAGCTTAAAATTCATGATGATCTTAAACTACAATGTAAGTAGTGAAAAATAATTATTGTAGAGAATACTAAAATAATCAGCTATGCTTTATTTTGAGTGAATGAACTGTCTCTGGGTAACATACACAGGCCTAAGAGGCTGGATTCTAATATTCAGATATTATATTACATACATACTCTCAGGTCACATTCTTCTTTAGACAAATAATATGTAATGTTTCAGAATTCATGTCTGGGATATCTTAGACTGTGAGTCACTGGTACAGTATATCAACCTTCACTTGAATTTATTTCTTTTTGTCAGATTTGAATGAGACTTGGAGAGGTTTAGCAGTGAACTGGTATCCATTAAGAGCTCCAACTGCAGCCTCTGCTTCGTCATAATTCCTCATTGTTACGAACCCATAGCCTTTACATATTCCCTTTTCTTTGTCCATAATGGTATCTACTTTCAATATAGCCCCATAGGGTGCAAATAACTGCCATAGTGTACTATCCTGGGCATCACTACCAATGTTATACACAAACAGAATATGGCCCTCATCTGTAGCTGCAGGACCTGGGGTATATGGTGGGTAAGATTCGGAGTAAACATCAGATTTCAAGGTTGATGCTGCCATTGGGTTGTAGCGATTGTACGCCATGCTGCTTCTCATTGCACCACCTCCAGCTGCCAGTCCTCGTCCTCTACCACGTGCCCTAGTGGCGCCACCTAGTGCACCACGACTTGGTGCTGGGGCAGTAGCTCCATAACCACCTCGTCCTTTGCCTGTACCTGAACCATAGAAGCTGTTGTAGCCAGTGTCACTATAATCAGTGTCTTCATAATATTCACTATAACTGGGGTCTTCATATTCAGAGTAATCAAAACTACTAAGGGGAGCAACACCGCCATATCTCCCCGCACCTGCTCCATATCCCCCTGCTCCTGCACCATATCCTCCAGCACCCGCTCCAAATCCCCCTGCACCTGCTCCTCCGTATCCTCCTCGGACACCAAATCCTCCAGCGGCACCACCGAATCCTCCAGCACCTCTCCCTCTACCTCTGGCTGCAGCCCCTGGAGGAGGACGTACCTTTGCTGCACTATCTTGGGCAAACTGGATATTCATTGGACTACTGAATCCATCAGGACATATGTCGGTAAGTCCATCGATGGCTGCCTGGGCTTGCTGACGCTTATCATAGATAACAAATCCATCTCCCTTGAAACGCTGGGTGTTGGTGTCTCGGACCATTCTGCATTGGATTAATGAACCAAATGGGCTGAAAGCTGCCCGAAACTGATCTTCAGTTACATCAAGTGGAATATTACGTACATATAAACGAGCACCTTTGGAATCAGCATCATCTCTAGAGTATGCAACTTTCAGTCGCTTATGTTGCACAGGCAACCCATTGAGAGTTTCTATGGCCTTAACAGCATCCATAGGACTAAGATACTCGACAAATCCATAGCCATAACTATATCCACTACTTTTATCTCGCATGATCCTTGTATTTTTCACTTCTCCGATCGCTTGGAACATTGAGGAAAACTCGGTATCAGTCATAGTTTGTGGAAGATAGTTGATAATCAATTTGGTTTTTCCCCCAATGGAACCATTTCCATTGTTGTATGCCATTTTGTGGTGCAGATTGTTGTCGTAGATACCTCAACTTGTATTTGTTACTTGTACACTGATAAAAAAAATGAAAAAAATAATTTTACAATTATTGTTTGAGACAAAAGATTTTTCAGCTTCTAAAATGTGGTACTGCAGCAACTGTGATGGATAAAAACATTTAAAATAAATGAAAAAACAGAAAAATATATTTATATACAAATATTGATGTAAAACACCGATTTCCTTCATCCTTAAGAAAATCATCAGCCACCGCAACTGTGAGAGAAAAAGCATTCAAAATAAATGAAAAAACAGAAAATTACTTTTCTACAAATGTTTTGTAATTTTAATGCAAAACACTGACTAACTGTCATTACTTGACAAAAAGAAACTTATCTGCGCCATTAAACAAGGTTCCTAAAAATGCGAGGACAGAATGAACTATAACTGTCCTCACAAAAAAATTACAAAAAATATTCAAATATTTAAAAATAATGAGTCATGTCTATAGATAATGTAACATGAATCCATTCGTGTAACATCAACATCTAAAAACCTCCGTATTCTGTTGTTCAGAAAAAAACACAGCTGAAAAAGCATCAAATAAATGAATAAATACAAGAACAAACAAAATGTGTACAAGTACAGTACCTACTACAACAATCCTCACTGTGTGGCATAGTGGTGAGGCAGTCTTCAAAAATATATAACATTAAAAACAAAAACAATTTTCTCTCATTGGGAACATTGGAGGAAGACGTCCATCTTGTTGTCTTCGTTACCAATCAGCCATAAGTCAGCTATCAGCAAAATCCATCATTTTTAATTTAGATAAAAAAATTAATACTGAATAATTACCAGAACAACGGCAACGCCAAAGCGTAGCGAATCCCATCGAACAGAAATGGCTGGCATTTTTACAAACGAATAGCAAATATCATAAAACAACACACCAGAAAGGCCACCATTTTCAAAATGGTTGCTCACTAGCCAAGTTGTCATCAGAAGAAATAATATGCTTTTAAGTAGCCACCTCTAAAATTTTGAAAAATCGCGCCCGTACTTGTAAAATTACACACATAAAAATGGTGGCCATTTTCCAAAATGGCCGACTACTCCCCAAAGTTTTATTAGACAATGTGCCATGCTTAAAGTATTCACATATCAAATATGAACAAAATCGCTCCACTACTTTTCGAGTTAAAGTAAAATACGTTAAAATGGCGGCCATTTTTCAAAATGGCCACCGTCTACCAAAAGTGTCATTAGAAATAGACAGTGTGCCATGCTTATAGTATTCACATACCAAATATGAACAAAATCACTCCACTACTTTTCGAGTTATAGTAAAATACTTTAAATTGGGGGCCATTTTTCAAAATTTTTTTCAAAATGGCCACCTTCTACCAAAAGTGTCATAGGACAGTCTGCCATGCTTATAGTATTCACATACCAAATATGAACAAAATCGCTCCACTACTTTTCGAGTTAAAGTAAAATACGTTAAAATGGTGGCCATTTTTCAAAATGGCCGCCTTCTACCAAAAGTGTTTTTAGACAGTGTGCAATGCTTATAGTATTCACATACCAAATATGAACAAAATCGCTCCACTATTTTTTGAGTTATAGCAAAAATCGTAAAATGACGAGTAAAGGCCGCCATTTTTCAAGATGGCTGCCATGTGCTTCTTTAATATCTACATTTGTAGCATTAATAATGTCCTTTATATTTTTTTACATTTAAAACATATTGCTAATACAGTTTTACATATTACACCTAAATTACTGTAAAATCGGCACTAAAATGGCCGCCATTTTGAAATGAGCGGCCATTTTGAAAATCGGCTTTCGAGCAGAACTTCTACCCCCATAGGGTATATGTGTACAAAATATGAACAAAATCGGGCCAATGGTATTTGAGTTATTGCCCGGACGGACGGACAGACGGACGGATGGATGTACGTACGGACGGACGGACGGAGGCGTTCCCTATATCCCTCCGAACTTCGTTCGATGGGATAATAAAGAGTAATATTGTGTGTTCGTTTTAATATATTTACATATTGGAGGGAGATGACCATATATTGCATAAAATGCTTCAATTATTTTACAAATCCCCCCCCCAGATTTTTTTGTGTGGCATCATAATTGTATTTAAGAATTTTTAGTTTTAGCTTGTATTAATTATAACAGATTTCAGTTAACATTTAAGGATTTTATTCTTTGTAAGTACATTTTGAACTTTGGAACTTTTAGGTGAATTTTTGAACCTTGCAATATATTGAATTAAACATTTTCTAGGATTTTCAAAAGTTTCTATTCAACAACCTTTTCCGAATGTGGTAACATATTAACACTCTCAGTAACAGGTCAAAATTCAGATATAGTAGCAATAAAATCAACTAACTAAATGTAAAGATTGATTTTTGTGCATGCAACATATGCTTGTGGTGGGAGGTGATTAAATGCAATGCCATCAGACTACAAAACCAAGGTTTTTTACTGAAATCATAAATATTATTTATAACAATATCTTGCCTCAATTGCAAAGTCCCAAAAGCTTACCTTCAAATAGAAAATTTATAATCGCTTTGAAAGGAGGGCAATGAACATTCTCTATATAAGTCTTAATTCATGTAAAGCCTATTATACAGTGAAATTAGGCAGAGGATTTTATTGAGGTATACTCAGGTTCGATTCCAGGTTCGATTCCATGTTGGTACAATTTTTTTCATTATGAAGTTTGTTCTCTGAGGTCCGGATATTATGTACACAATTTTTTAAAAATTCATGGGCTCGCTCCAACGCTCAACCATCCATGTTTAATGAAATTAATCACTTGTATTGGCTTTACTATATTCACAAGCTTACAGCATACGGGGAATCCCATTTGAAGGTGGCAAAAAGTATGAAGGAGACTTTGGGATGAAGAAAATGATCTTGTTGAATTCTAGATACAGCACATCATGATGCAGTTTATCAGGAATGTAGGGACATCAGCCCGGGGACATCAGAGAATACACTTCCAAATCTATTGCCTATAAGATTCCAATGCCTATTTTTAGGATTTTCAAATGACAAGAGGCACAAAATATTTTTTCAATTTTTTGCAAAAACTTCCCCTTCAAAAGTCCTTCATTTGTATCAACGTTTTTTTAGGCTAGCCTCCAATTGGGCATCACTAAATGTGACCTCAACACCATTCTCCCAAGGGCCTATTCTAAACATCAAAATCTTTACTGATTAGTAAAATTGAACAAGTATATGACTGATCCAAGTTGCCGCACCACGAAGGTTACTGAACCTTTAAAAAGCGAAATTTAGACTGAGGATTGAAAAGGTTCTAAGAACTTTTTTTCGGTAGACCGGAAGTAAATTTACGAGTCGAGTAAAAAGTGATAATGTTCTTTTTATGAAGTGGGAAAGTCAAAACAGTTCTTATAGGAAGTCAAAGTAAGCATTCAAGGATCATTTAGAAGCATTTAAAATCAAATCCACTGCAAAAGTGAAATGAATAAAATCGTTGTATGTTTCCTTCTTCGTTTTCTTCGCGGACCTCAGAGAAGACACTTCCGGTTTAATAATCGGTGAGTTTATCGATCAAAAAATATATTTTTATGAATATCTCCGGTATCTGCTTTAATATAGTATGTTAATTTGTGTTGATTGTTAAATTACAAAACAGGTTGAGTAAAAATATGTCAAAATCGTTTGATCTCGTCCCAGAAGCAATATTTTGTCATTTCCGTCACTTAGAATTCCTTTAAGGCTGGCTCTCTAGCAAAATTGGCAATCAAAATGCTAAAGACCCTATTTAAGGCTTTCTAGCCGAAATGCCATAGAACCTTAAAATTTAAGGCTCTTTAGCCAAATGGGTTACCAAAATGCTAAAGAGCCTAAAATTTTAGGCTCTCCAGTCACTGCCTTATTTTTTACATCGGGCTGCGCATGCGTATTGGAGAGAGTGGATGGATCGGTAAATATCGTGACAAACAGCTTTTGAACTTCTCTCTTCTATTACTAAAGGTAAAGTATACCATTGATAGTGCTGACTGTGCTTCCCTGTCATGTCTGGCTGGGTTTCACTTGGGTAACCTGAGAGTTGGAGGACATAGAACATACTGGTACAGTTTTGACCATAAATAAATGAGTCATGGATTTAATGAAATCATGGGCTTTCTGTAAGCCCATGCTGAAATGAGAATTTCCAGTTCCAATAAGAAAATTTTCAAGAGGCCGTATATCAGTGGATTAGAGTACAGAAAATGTAAAAATATATCCCCTACAATTTGAAGACAAAAGATAAACATTATGGAAGCAAAGGTGAAGTAAAAATGTTCACTCATATTCAAATAAAACATCTTTTCGTTCAATCTAAAAATGATTCTTTTTTGTTTGAATGAAAAATTATCAAAAAATGAAAAATACAAACTGAATGTGATCCTTATTAGAGTCTATTGAGGAAAATGAAAACCAAATTCATATTACAAATAGTCACTAAACATCTCTTCATCTTTTTTTCAAGTTGTCACATCTTATTCTAGAAGAAATATGAAGATATTGCACAATACATACCGGCTTCTATTATTCCATCAATTTTAGGAACAACGTGATCAAGATGGCAGTCAGCCTCGTTTTGATTCCAAATTGGTTAGTTCCCTTGATCTTTTATAGATGGCAGGATACGTAATCAGACACAAAATCAAGACAGCACACAACACAACACGGTCAATATCACCCGGATTCAGTTCTTTTTTGAAAAGAGCTGAAAAGTGATGATCAAACTCCCGACTTTTGACTGTGGACCGGATAGATAAATAACCAATCTTTGCTAATTGTACATCAGGTCTAATTAAGGTTCAATGACTGCCTAGCCTAAGTGCATTCCTCAAAGGTTCATGATCAAACCCGAGTGCACGAGATGCATAGGATCGAGAGCTGAATTATGGTTCATCTTTGAGGCCAGGTGTAAAAGGGTAGGAGGTCCTATCAACTTATGGTCCTACTCTCCATTGATTTATATGGTGACCTAAATACAACTCTTCCCCTCATTATCTTATACGCAATCAGGGCCAGTAAGGGCCGTTAAGAAAGGGGACCATAATCACTGGGGGACCATCATCTCTTTCACACCGGGTATGGAATCATTAATAAAATGAATTGCAAAATATTTTGCACAATATCACTTAAACTATGGGCTTTCGAAAGCCCATGCTTAAACTGAAAAGGTTGAATATATTTTCAAGGAAACTTTTTTCCAAGGGTCAAGTTGTGGACAACCATTCAATACTTTCCATTTGACCTGCATAAGTACTTGGCTTGTTATTGAACGATGTTGTTTATAGTTTTTTACTAATTATGAAATTGATGAAGAATCGGTTTCATTAGTTTCACTATCTTTTACCTCATATTTCATTTTCATCACGGGCTATAGAATTGAATTTATTAGTTCTATTAATTCTAGATGATTGTCCAAAACTGGGTACCAGTCACCACCGAGGACCGGGTATTTAATCCTGCATAGGGGATCTGTAAAAGTGTAGGAACGAGTATGAAACATACAGGTCATAAGATCAGCTCAGAACAGTCGGTTCAAATGATCTGCAATTCTTACCGAAGTACATGACTAGATTCAGTCAAATCGATTACCCTCATGAATTTCAAAATGCAAACATGTCAAAACCATTGTTTCTTTGCAAAAAAGCATTCTTTGAATGACTGTGCAAAATATTTTGCAATGTCTAAAATGAATTTAGGTGAGTGAGTTAATGCACTCTACTTGTCTTGTATCCTGGACGACTTTGCCGCTTATTCAAAGTCTTGATATTAGACATACGTGGTTGAGTAATTCATCGACAATTGAATCCTGGGTTTCAGTTCATGAAAAACTTGTAAATTGTGTGTTCAATGTTCAAAATTCACAAGGACTGCAAACTAGCCGTTTTCGTCTTTTTTAAAGAGTAACATGTAATGATTGATTTCTCAGTTGTCAGCAGACTTCAAAATCTGGTAAGATATTTTAACTCTATTAGAAGGAATATGCACGTTATATCGTCGTTCCGAAGAATCGTTTTGGTATTTTATAGGGAAACACGTAGGCCTAATATATGATTTTCTCAGAACTAATTTTATTCTGGTAGAAAGGACATTAAAGGACAATAAAAGTTGTTAGGAGATCTAGTGATATTCTGGTGAAAACGGAATAAGAGATGGCACATACATTGGTAATATAACGGACTTTCGTCAATGTAACAAAAGCGAGGGACTAAATATATGAATTACAATCTGCAATTTGACTTTTAAGTAGGTTTGAATCGAGAAAACAAAAAACTCATAATCAGGAAATTCATCCATTTTCGGTTACATTGAGTTTCCGTCAAAGTAACTAGTTGTGGAAGTGATAATCACGGCTGCAGTTGCGTTGGGATCGAAAGATTTGTCCGTTGTGACGGCGTATGCTATTTTCAACAAAGTGCTTTTTATTCTTTACCATTGTGTTTCGTTAAACCGGTGTGAAAGAAACGATGGTCCCCCAGGGATTATGGTCCCCTTTCTTAACGGTCCTTACTGGCCTTGGTTGCGTATAAGATAATAAGGGAAAGAGTATAATTGAGGTCACCATATAAATCAATGGAGAGTAGGACCATAATTTGATAGGACCACCTACCCTTTTACACCGGCTTTGTATAAAAAACCGCCTACCTCATACCCACCTACGTGGAACATGATAGAGTCATTGAAGGTTTCAATTTTAAAGATTATTAAATCTCAAAATAGCTCAAATTATTAACATTTCTACAATGCCAGTGTAAAAGGGTAGGAGGTCCTATCAAATTATGGTCCTACTTTCCATTGATATATATGGTGACCTAAATACAACTCCTTCCCTTATTATCGTATTCACAATCAGGGCCTTAAGAAAGGGGACCATAATTTCTTTCACACCGGCTTTATTTTATGACTAGACAGATGTCAGATCAATGAATAAAGGCATATTATCGATGCATTCTAATGTGTTATGACTCAAGGGCGCCCAAGCTAGGATGTAGTAGCAACTTGCTATCAAGGGTCGTTACAAATGCATAGATTTTATAATTAATCATAAACTAAGATTTAATAAACATCTTTAAAATTGAACCCTTCAAAGACTATATTATGTCCCACGTACGTGGGTAGGTGCTGGGCATTAGGTAGGAGGTTTTTTATACAAAGCCCATTAAACCAAAGAAAATTACATATCGGTCATCCGACCACCTGTCCACGCTGTTCCCCATACAGGCTGAAAAACTCGGACTGAAATTTGTTTTGCTATACTTCCAGACCCCGGCGTCGAGGATTACAGCAGTGAATTTTGATGATAAGATCTATATTTGGTGCCCATCTATAAGACGAGTAGCACAAGACAATGACAAATAACACTTTTCAAATAAAGTGCAATAAAAATCTCCCAGACTCCATTCAACTACAGTTTAACCTGTATAACAGTTTATAACCGAACACATCTCTAATCCGAATATCTCTCAATGTGAACACTTTTTCTCAGTTCCAAATTAGTTTTTCTCCTATTCACGTACATAGTTATAAAAACCTTGAAATGTGAATACCTGCTTTTTTATTATTATTATATCTTGGTTGCCGCCATATTTGGCGAGCAATACCTCATTGGTATATTCCGTATTTTACACTCGAAGACAGAGCCAGAAACCCCTCCTTGGAGGAGCCCTGTGTTCTTTTGTGTGCACAGGTACACACCACAGCCTTTTATACGAATGGTGAACCACTCAGTCAAACACCCAGAATTACATAACGCACAAACAAACTTGTCTGAACCGGGAATCGAACCCGGGGCCAAGCCATATTGGAAACCTTGACTTTGCTACTGAGCCGATAGCGGGTGGACTAATCTGAACATTTTTGACTGGTGACAGAGGCGTTCGGATTAGACAGGTTTTACTTTATTGTGAGGATATTTCTGTATGTATATTTTATGTATTAAATAGGTCAGGGTTGTCCACTGAATTCTTTGTTTTCATTGATTTACCATCAATTCAAAGTAACAACTTTTTTGTTTCCTCAATTCAACCATCATTAATAGACTTTAATTTGACTGATTTAATTCAAGAGTATACTGGCCGGCGGTTCTATACTTGGTTTACAAATAAAGGAACAATTCCCATATATTTTGTCCTTCACTTTGGTTACAATGTATATGAGCAATGGCCTTTGCATTTTTGTTCCTTATCTAAGCAACAAATTAGTGTCTACACTACAGTATTTGTGAATTTAAGAAAAGTGTATACTCTATATTTGAATTGCAGCAAAGTGTAAATTAAGGAAAATGTCACCACCTAAATGCTCAAAATATGAGTTCAATCAGATTTGAACTTCTGAGAACTTGTTACAGACACCAACCACCAACTGCTGTCACTAAAATGGAGACAATAACAATATGTCACCACCTCCACCTTTTGTTGGTGACTTAAAAACTCCAAGGACATTCATGTTGTAAGTTGTAACAAGATGGGAACAGTGATAAATCTGACACTTCAAGTTGAACATCACAATCTAACATATAACAATTGTATCTTTAGGCAGACTGCAGAATTTATTTCAACGCTCTGTGGTACATAATATATAAGAATAGTTTATTCATTCTCCTCTGAGCGTAGTCTGGCATTGGGGTTGGTCACTTTAATAGAAAGCTGCTGAGCTCTCTCTACAATGTTCTTTCTTTTCTTGCTGCTGACACCATGAGCAATCTCAGCAGAGAATGTCTTGTTTTGCATCATAAGCACCTCAAGCTCCTGGAACACACAAGAGTGACATCTTTTAAATGAGGTAACATTTAAATGCAGTTTTGCCTAAATTGTAAATCTAACAGTTGACTCCAAAGAATTTGAATTTCAATAAAAGAATTGACTGAAAATGTTGTAGACTGTAAGGATAGACCTGAGACATGATGAAGTCTCAGCACCGAAGACGAAGTCTACATTTCTCTTCCTCACTCTTCATTCACAAGTAACCATTCTAGTCACCAGTGCCATTGGAGCAGGTACATTCCCTCAAAAGGTTTTGCAAACTTAGCTCCCTAATTAGAATTTATGTTAAAGCATGTTTACATTTGAATTTCTATTTATATTGGAGATATAAATTAATTTCCCATGACTCCAATCTTTTTAAATTTCTTTGGGTCAATGGGTAAGAAATCAATTACTATTCAACTATTTCTTGAAAATCGTGATTCCCCTCTAACCAGTGAGAAATGGTGAGTTCAGGGTAAACTTAGATAACAGGATCAATTTTTTTAAATCAAATTTACAAATCTTCAAAGTCAATTTTGAATTTTATTTCACCTTCTGTGTTATTTCAATGGGAAAGATTTCTCAAAATAGAATATTATTCATTGTTAACTTTGAAGATGTATAACCTTGTTCGCATATTTAACTATTTACATAACATGAATATTTAAGAAAGCCATAGAATGGATGAATATCCTCTCATACGATTTGCGTCAAATTTACCATTTCCCATTGATTTACATGAGCATGGTGATTTTCAAAAATTCATTATGTCATGTCATCCATTTCTGACCGTTGTAATCATGGACAAAATTTAAAAATGGGAATGGAAATAATCTCAATTCATCTTTCTCGCTTCAAAAGTGCTTTTTATCACAGAATATGCAAATAAGAATTCAAACCTAAAGAGGCTTTAACATGTAACCAGAAGGTCAGGTAGAGCACTTAGGAGGAGGGTGTATGGTCAAGCATGATATATCAAAAATCCCTACTCACAAGACTCTCATCAAAATACCACCACATAAAACAATAGTGTCATAAATCTTTAAATGGTGCATAACAAGGTAACAATGGTGCATAACATTCCTAGGTGATTTTCATTAATTTACTTACTGAAATATTGTGAACGAGGAATTTTTTGAATCCATCTGGGCACACGTGCTTGGTGTTTTTGTTGGAACCGTAACCAATGTTGGGCATGAGGAACTGCCCCTTGAAGCGTCTTCTCACTCTGTTGTCAATACCCTTGGGCTTGCGCCATGCTTGCTGAAGTAAAATAAAACATTGGTTTTAGGTAAATTACTTACAATTACACATGGTGACATAGAGGCCAGAACATTGTAATTTATTTCAATTCATTTTCATTCATATATTGACAGGGAACCATGTTGATTATTAGATATAGATGTTAGATTTTTTGTTGTGGACTGTAAGGATAGACCTGAGACATGGTAAAGTCTCAGCACCGAAGACGAAGTCCACATTTCTATCCCTCACTCTTCATTCACAAGTAACCATTCTAGTCACCAGTGCCATTGGAGCAGGAATAAACATATAGCATTTATAGACATTTTTTGAACAAGGATAACATAGTTCTAGGGGATCATACGATTTTTAAAAAAGAATTTCAGCAAATTTATAAGATATATTTTTTCAAGAGAAAGTTCACATGTACAAACAAATTTCTGAATCAATTTTATTTTTTAAAGGTTTTTCATTTGTTGTGCATATGCATATAATGCACAGTAAGAAAAGCGGGCGGGCCAATTCCAGTTCGCTAAGCAATAAGCTGTCCTTTCCGAGAAAACTGATAATATTCTATTTACAAAATTGTAAGATTATTGAGAAGTTCCAAAAGTCAGATTTCCATGATCATTTCAATAATCATTGAAACATGTTACTCACACACTAGCTCAAATATGACGCAAAGTTTGATTTGCTTGAATATTGAACAAAGAAAAAAATAACTCACAGAAAAAAGCATTTGAAGTTCAGAGATCATAAGACATGCATGCACATATTAAACAAAGTGCATGTTTTAAATTACTATTGATTAAAAAGATGGCGACACTTCTATAAAAAAATGAATGTATCCTGTAATACAAACAACTTCTCCATCTTTCAATGAAATTGATAAAAACTTGATATTTAAAGCTTGACAGATCAAAATTATTTTTTGATAATTTATTGTCAGCTTTGATGTGGTCAGTTTGAGCTGTTGCTGGTGTCAAATGAAAGACAAGAACACAAATGTGTACAAAATGTCCCCACTAAGTGGTGATCCCGTGAAATGGTTATCCTGAAAATGAGTAGACAAGACTTTACCAACACAATTTGAGGACGGAAAATCCAAAGTGGCCACCTTAAAATTTACCCAGAATGCCCAAAATTTAGTCAGTTCTAGATTTTCATACGAAGAACCACCCCTGAAAATTTGAAATTGATCCGTCACACAGTTAACCAGAAAACATGTAAACAAGACTTTACAGACAAGATTTCAGGATGGAAAATCCAAAATGGCTGCCTTGACATTTACCAAGAATGTCAAAAAACTAATCTGTTTGTAGATTTTCATACTAAGAATCATCCCTGAAAATATGAAATTGATCTACCAAACGGTTCACCTGAAAACGGGTAGACAAGACTTTACAGACAAGATTTTAGGAGAGAAAATCTAAAATGCCTGCCTTAACATTTACGCAGAATGCAAAAAAAGTAATCAGATGTAGATTTTCATACAAAGAATCATCCCTGAAAATTTGAAATTGATCTATCAAACCGTTCACCTAAAAACGCGTAGACAAGACTTTACAGGCAAGATTTTAAGACGGAAAATCCAAAATGGCTGCCTTGACATTTACCCAGAATGCAAAAAAACTAATCAGTTCTAGATTTTCATACTAAGAATCATTCCTGAAAATTTGAAATTGATCTACCAAACAGTTCACCTGAAAACGAGTAGACAAGACTTTACAGACAAGATTTTAGGACGGAAAATCCAAAATGGCTGCCTTGACATTTACCCAGAATGCCAAAAAACTAATGAGATCTAGATTTTTATACTAAGAATCATCCGTGAAAATTTGAAATTGATCCACCAAACAGTTCACCTGAAAACGCGCAGACAAGACTTCACAGACAAGATTTTAGGACCGAAAATCCAAAATGGCCGACAATAAAAAAGTCCTTATGAGTTTTTGCTGATTTCTTTTTACAAAATTATCACATATAACTACTATTAACAATAAAGTAGGCTTTTACAGCAAAGTACATCTGAAATTATTTATAAAGCTACTAAATAGTTAAAGTATGAAAACTCAAAAACACCATTCAATATGATACAAAGTATTATCGCGCGCTAACTTTTCTTAAGACATTCAAAATGGCTGACATGACTGAGCTAGCAGGTCCAAAACCTAATCAGATCTAGAATCAAGTGAGCTGAACAAGATGTTAAAGTTTTAAAAGCAACTGTAAAGCAGTTTTTCTTAAAGTTTGCAGACAAGGATTTTAGCATTTGACTTCAAAATGGCCGACAGGAAGTAGGTTTCGAGTTAAAGTTTTTTCATCCACATCTATAGGCACTCATAAGTTATTCCTGAAAATTAGAAGGTGATATCTGTAGCGGTTTTGGAGAAAACTGCCGGACGTACGGACGGACAGACAGACAGACAACCAACCAGACAGACGGACGCGCCTAGGACGACAATATGGCCCCACACTATAATAAGGTTGTTTTCAAAACATTGGACATACTATGAATATTAAATGTAAGTCTTTATTTTGACCAAAAATGTTGAAAATTCCCAAAGTGGGCCTTTAAGTTTCAATAAAAAAATCCTATACTGTAACAAAAAAATTAGCTACGTTTATGGAGCTGCTCCGCACCCAATATTTAGAGGGGGCTCATATCTGAAAAAATTTCCGAATTTTTATAAAATCACACAGATACTGCCTGGCTTCCAAGATGCAAAAATAATTTGTATAGATAGTGCACCTTGAACACCATTTTTTATGAATGCTGGGGACTCAGTATTAAAAGGATAATTTCAAAATATATAGGTCTGGGAAAGGTTTAAGGCACACTGCGTCGCTATAGAATGAATTGCGCTACTATTTTCACAATTGTATTGATATTTGGTGTCCAATACACATATCTTGGTATATTTGAAGTCCCAAAACGGCTTAGTTTCAGAAATATTCCAAATTTAAATTCAAAAATAACCGTTAGCTCCGCACCCTCCGCTCATTTGCTCCGCACCCAATATTTCCCACAGGCTCTGTCTGCTGAGGGTGTATTTTGCCGTTCTACTGACGCAATGAAACGGTGAAATGGACTCTAGAAGCAATCCAAGATATACAAATGTCATTCATGTACAATAGGAATATAATTTTTCCATATATTATTACAAAATGATATTTTGATTTTTAATTTTTTAGCTTTTACTGACACAGTAAAACAATGAAATGTAGACCCGGCAATCATAGATACTAGTATTCCGTAATTTCGCGGCGTGGACGGAATTTGACAAAACTTCAATTTTTTGCAGAATCCCTGATTTTCATGAAAATCCCGCGGAATTACCAGAATTTCCAGAAATTACATATTTTACGATCTCCTACCTTTGCGGGGTATTTGAAGAGTGTCTGTTTATATCCAACAATCAATCATTATTGAGTACAAGTACGATTTCACCGTGAAATTCAACATTCTATCACGTTTAAATTCGCTAAAGCGAGTTCGCTAATGACGCGCAGTTCTTACCTAGAAAGTAGCTGACTTCCGTTTCCGTTTGCTACATCAATTTTCATCGTTTTTGCAGAATTTGGACTTTTTTTGAAAATTTGTGCAGAATTTCGATTTTCTCCTTGCAGAATTTGCTTTTTTTCTTGCAGAATTTTGATTTTTTTCATGCAGAAAACTAGTATCTGTGGGCAATGTTGATGTCATCTTCGATTGATGAACTGAAACCTATGTCTTACCTTGACCTTGATGTAGCGATCAGACTGATGACGGATAAACTTCTTTGTCCTCTTCTTGACACGCTCCTTCTTGACCAGAGGCCTGATTGCCATCTTGAATTATATTGGTACTAACCTGCAACAGATATGTTTAGAGCCCTATCAATATCTAAGAATGTCCCTAGCAAATTGTATCTGTACCATTGCTTCCAATGTTTACCGAAACATTTTTACAATACTTATTCGTGAATACAATCAGCTAGTGCAAAAGTTTACATCTAATTTTAGTAAATTTAACAAAAATAAATTAGAAATAAAATGCAGTCACATAAATCGTAATATCTAATTTAAAAAGACATTGTAATGATACATTGAGACACAAATATGATCAGAAATACTCTATAGTTTTTATATTTTGTGTAATTGAAGCAAGATGATCGTATTTTGTCATAGATATTGGTCGATATGTTTAAAAAAAATTACCCAAATGTGATGGGAAAATCCAATATGGCGAAAAGGAAGTGTAAATGCAAGCGCCACCTATCGTTCATACAGCCAACAGAACGCGAATCACAGATGGCAACATATAAAAATACACGTATACAAGAAAATTGTCCAATTCAATTTTTTGAATCGAAAATACAACTCGTGTGGATCTTTATAGTCTTGCATCAAGTTTCTTCCCCTCTCAATATTGTGATTTACATGATTGACTATTAAAGGCAGCACCAGACCCATTATGGCAGGTGACAAATTTCAAATTGATGATCTATCCTACATGTATTATCATCAGAAAGATCTGTGTTATTTTATAAATGGCCATCAGGTGTAAAGATTTGTAAATTCTCCAAATATGATAAACGTGGAAACTTATTTCAGTGGCGGATCCAGCAATTAACAAGGGGGGGGGGGGGGGGGTTTGAGTATGGAAAACAATTTACGCTTGCATGGAAAAAAATTTGGGCCCCTTAAATTTTGAAAAAATTAGGCTCATTTTTGATGAATTGGCCAAAAAAGTCCTAAAAAGCCACATATGGCCCATTTCTAGAGGGCCTACAAAATTTTGGGGCCCAAAAACTAAAAACAATTCTGGGTCCATTAAAGGCCCACCACCGATCACTGTATTTATTTATTATTACTGACTTACCTTAAAATGGCTCATATTCAGAAATCAACAAGAGACACAATGGTACATGTAAGTTCAGGTCTGTAGCCAGGATTTACGTGTGGGGGGGGAGCGTTTTTACAGAGGGGGAGCTTTTGCCAAGGGGGCAGGGATTTAGCGGACCACATAGACAATTGGCTGTATAAGTTATACTTGATCGCATAATTATGTGTTTGATCACTCAAAGAAATGTTTACAACCCGGTGTGAAAGAAATGATGGTCCCCAGGGATTATGGTCCCCTTTCTTAACGGCCCTTACTGGCCCTAATTGTGTATAAGATTATGAGGGAAAGAGTTGTATTTAGGTCACCATATAAATCAATGGAGAGTAGGACCATAATTTGATAGGACCTCCTACCCTTTTACACCTGGTTTACAAAATCCAAATTATTAGTGGCAGTGTCCCTTTAATAGAATAACGACAATACAAGCACTAGCTTCTTTATGGTAAAATGACGTCACATCCAGGGACCATACCGCGCACCTTGTCTGCGCACCTTAGATGACCTGTACAATTTTGTTGAAAATGTTCGAGTTTTGGCCTAAATAACAGCGGTTTTATTTTGCATTATCTAATGTAAAGGCTGTAGAAAGCAAGATCAATGTTTCAAGAAGGGATTGCTGCCAAACAGTTTGCAGAAGCATTGGGAGTTTTGGAAAATGCAACAGTATCACAGGTGGGTACTCGGGTGTTTAGAGTTCGTTGCTCCGAGATGGGTGATATGGGTCACAACCTCGTTCTGGAGTTAGACACATTCGGTAATGAAAGAACGTGTGATTCACTTACACACAATTTCTTAGGTGTTATGAGCCATGAATCCCCTTACAGTCCAGTTTCATAGAAGCAGATGTGACCCAGAGGTGGCTTTGTGAGATGCTACACGCAGAACCTCTTATATGTTTCCTGGAGCAAGAAAATATGAAGAGATAAACTTTTTGAAAAGGTACAGAAAAATCAGGATTTTTTTTCATTCTGTGACTAATAAGATTAGTAAGAAGTGAAAGTTATCCCGATCTACTTCACTTGTTATCATACCACAAGTATTTTTTGTTTGGTGTAGTATTTGTGATTACGGTGACTCAGCGAGTGGTCGTAGCATGTGTAGTACTTTGGAATGGTGTGGGTGGAAGTTTATCAATCAATGTAATATTCAACCCTAATCTTGATTCTCATCAAGGACTCTCACCTCTTTGTGTGCCATAACTTCACAAGTCGTTCAGTTGACAAAGAAAGGTACGCTGGATAGAAAAATAACCAGGTATTTATACAGTTACTAGAGTTATTCTAGATCTACTCAAAACTAACTCGAGATAAGTTATTTGTTATGTTCTTTAGTCAACACATCACACAGATTAGAAGGATTTGGAAGTTCACCATGATGTCAAACTACACAGGGAGTAACCGAAATTTTAGGTGCTCACATATAGTATGCACTGACGAATGAAGAAAGGATGGAAGGACATCATTATTTTTTTTTACAATTTGGCATCTTAAAAAAGATTACCTTATGCTTATATTTCAAAATGATTGGATTAGAGTAGTGTTTCAGTTATTTTAATGTATCACCTTCGAATTGTATAGACAATTGATATTTATATACATTTCTGCAATGGCTGTAGTCATTCTCCCATGCATGGGCTTTCGTTTCGTCCCATGTATATCAAGATCAAAACCTAGTTCCAAACGGTAAACTACATGTCATATTGAAAATATATTTGCAACTGAGAGCTTTGAAAATGATATTTTTGCACTAATTTGACAAAAATCTTGGAGAAATATTCCCTGATCTACCATTTTTCCACATCACAATTTTAATTGTGTTTTTTGGTCTTATTACCTCACCAAAAATTGCAAAACACTTAAAGTGGTCAGTGTATTAGTTCACATCTTCTGGATCGCTAACTTAGAATTTACAGCCAGTTACTAATGTCAGACATTAACGACATTTCGTCCAGTTTTCGAACATCACCATTTTTCTTAGAGCCATTTTTTTTAATTTAAGACGAAATCCTGATGAAATCATGTCATATCTCACCAAGGAGCCGAGCGGGTTCCGTTTTAATTAATGATTTATTTATCTGGCGATTTTTAAAATATTCAATAAATTTATGACACAGCGTCCAGCTTTTTTTCAAATGGAGTTCACAGTATTCCAGATGAAATCACCTCTAGCCAAGTATTGGCTAGAGACTCGAGTAAATGTAAATCATTATTTTATCTGTTTTGATCAAATTTGTCAGTGTTTTATCCTTTTCACAGATTTGCAATGTAGATTTTCAACAGATTTCCAACAGGTTAGCATGTAATTTGGGGAATTTTCAACAGGGTGACATGTGATTTTAAGATTTTCAACAGTGTGTATCAATGCTTGAAAGGTAATCATATCAATGCTTGAAAGATCACTAGTGAAACACGTATATATAGTACAAAGCTCATACATAGATTTGCTATTATATTTTTTTACCATACTCATCAACTGCTTTATGTCGAGATGTTACTTGACCAATGAACTAGTGGGTAAGCAGTTCTCAGAATCTAAAGCCTAAAAATTTGGAGTCTCGTTAATCAAGGTTTTTTGTTTCTGTTAACATCACATTGAAATGCCTCTGCTGCTTTTTTGTTAACATGTCATTTAAATTTCAAATTTGAAGATTGTATAATTGATTTGATAAAATCAATAGAATTTTACATTGTCAACAATGATATACCTATGTAGAACTGTAGAACCAATTGCTTTTTTTTGCATTATACTATATTGATACATATTATGTTTCTAATATCATGAAATCATATTAAAGTGGCAGATATATGAATTTCAAATTGTTTTTAATGCACATGTATCTAGTTTGAGTACTTGTACAACATGAATATAAGAAATTTCCTTTCATTTTCATACATTAGTACATGATGAATGCGATCACAATTCAGTTTTATAATTGGGATACCTGTAATCATTTGCCTATTACCAATTAACAAAAATCAGTTCATTAAATTTGAACCTATTCAACTTAGAATGAGTAAAAGTATATACCAATTTACTAGTACATAAATGAAATATATGTATTTATGTTCATGTATAATTCAGTCATTTTGTTTTTGCAAAAAGGTATTCCGGCTGGAAATAGTGTATAAACTTTGACATCTATTAAGATTTTTATTGGTTACATCCCTAGATTTTTATAATTTATGGTATTAGACTGGTGTTCCTGGATATCATATATATTGTTTGTATTAGTTCAGCTAGACTTCCCTTGTTTGTCAATAACGGTCCAGGGCTATATACTAGGAATATTATCATATTTGCATTTCCATAAAATGAATCTCTGCATACCAGCTGGTTAAATTGTAAATAATTTCTAATGTTTATCATGTACTGAGCCTGGTTTTTAATAAGTGCAGTTCATATATGTTTGTTTGGCTGAAATGTCAAGTTAAACACATATCTCTGATATGAGATGCCTTGACTAATATAAGGTAAAATTCAAGTTTGCTTCCTTTTCATCAAATTGATCAGTCATCATGTTTATTCATACTTAATTCACATATACTATATAGTATCTATCACAAATATATATAAGTGATAGAATTCCACTTTAAAAATTAATGATAAGATCAGTATAACATAAACAGAGGCCCTTTATAAGATATCATCTGTCACAAGACCAGTGTATGACACTTTTGTTATCAATTGTTTAGCAATTTGAAAAAGCACAAGTATAGAAATTTTAGGCTTGAATCTACAATTTTTGTTATTTTGTTTTTATCATACTTTTACTATATTTTTTACTCTATGTAATTCTTTGAAAACATGTAAGGTTGAACAGCATTTTCATATAAGCTAAGGTCGAAGCAGTTTTTCCTGCTTCCACCCTCCTGCTTCAAGGAAGGGTTGATTTTGTTCCAGTCACATCTTGATTTTTGTCCTGTCAGTGCTGTCATCTCTTAATTTTGGTCCTGTTATATTCTAAGAGGGTAATTTCTTACAAATACTATACTCTCTCAACAATCTGCATGTGATTCATCTCTGGAAAAATATCAACACATTCCTGGTATTTTTGTTACTTATCCAAAATTTATTTTTTGCTTGTAAATCCCTAAAAATATGTAGGAATTTTTAATTTTGAATCATATATCCTGCTTATCATATATACTATGTAAAGAATCCATGAAAATCATTAAAATGTAATGCTTGTAATGTTGTTTATATGGCTGATAGACTAGTAAGGGCCTTTGTCTAATAATCATAATATTGACAGTTTTGATACTTGGTTTGTGAATTCCTATAATGTTTTATTTGGTGTTGTATCGTTCATGATACTAATTTTGATTTTTGAATGTATTTTCAGAAAGAGCGAAGGAGTGACAAGTGGTGCATGAAGTTCCCTTCTTATATAAGGGAATCTCATGTTTGTTTGGAAGCAGTCAGATAAACAGGTATATAGAAGTGCATGGTACAGTTACCGTTGCATGGGAATGAAAGGAGGTACACCCGTAATCATAAAACACCAAATGGTACATGGTGAATAAAGTGTGATACACAGAGTGGCGCATGGTGTAGCGGTAGGCGGTTGAAAAGCCCACCATGCCGCAGTGAATATTAAGATGATAAGGAAAGCTAACAAACTGACTGTTACTCAGGATTCACCAACAGCCGCAAGATTAGCTAATTATCGTGGTGAAGGAACCACTCCTTTAGCAGGGCAAGCTTACCCACCTCCTATAAGCCCTATAGCTATCGGCACAATCTCACCCCCATTGACCTCCCCAGATACGGACTCGGAAATGCAGGCCTCTCCCAGTAGCAGTCCTGGGACCTCCCATGATGTCACTGTTGACCTGGCTGCCGATCTTGAGGCTCAACACTTCCTCAAAGACAAGGTAGGTCTCCTTTCATTCACTAAGTTCATGTTATATAACATTCTTTCTCTTGTATTGTCATGTTGGGAAATTAGAGAGAAGGGCTGCTTTTTAGAGACATTAAATATGCAAGAATTCTCCACTGGGAGCAAACCTCTAAATTACCTATTATTGTTTGAAAAATTAATTAAATTTAGCTAAAATGTTAGTTTTTCAAAGTTTTTCAATTTCCTAACCAGCTTTATCATATCCGTAGATAGGTTAACCATGATGCAGCATTCAGTTGTTGTGGAAATGAGAGATTGCTGCATGTATGTCTTATGTGGTCATCAGAATGGGTTAAAAAGTTCTCACAGACAAGAGACACTAAAAGCACTGTAGTCAATGTGATTTCAAAAAGAAAAATGTTCTGATTTGTATCCCTAAATGCATCAGTTTGACTAAGCTTCTTAAAGAGAACTTTGTCTAAATGTCTTGTAATGTCATAAACAAATTTGACCACTGATCTGTCTTGCATTAATAGATAAATCTTAGGAGAACTTTCTGACTAAATAAATCCATGATATGATGTTTATGTTAATGACTTACCTCTAACTTGCTCAGAAAGCATTCCTCAAAGTCCTGTAACATAAAATACATTGTGGGATCTACAGCCTCTTGGAGGACATGTACTAGCATTAGATGAAACAGACATAAATTTATCTTCATCATAAACTTCAAGTAGATGTAGAAGGCAATCAAAAACACTGGAGTAAGAAGTGGGGAATAGCAGTCTCCAATTACCCAGATGTGAGTAGGTAGTTACCATTATCACCACCAGGTAGCTGATATGGGGTAAATAACATGGCAGGGTATTAGAGTATTCCCTTAAACTTGAATATTCATCAGTTTTAGTGGTTCCATTTTCATATTACCCTAGTGTATCTGATAGTTATACAAATTGAAATATGTGCAGTAAAAGAAAATATTATCTGTCCAGTATAAGAAGAGATATTTCACCTTTTAGTGATTTTATAACATGGGGTCTATGGGGATTCTCCCCGACCTAGAAGTCACATTTTCAAAAAAAATTAAATTTTCAAAGTTGATGAACACTTTTTAAAACCACATTTCTAGATGTAATTAATATAGATTTCAAATATGATATCACTTTGTCATTGACTGAATTTTGAATTTCTAATGACGTAAATCAAAATTATTTCTAGTCACATCTAGTGCATTCTATGTGATTTTATGACAATAGTGTTAGATATATATAAAGATTGCCCTGATACATCAAAAAATCTTCAATATATTGTTGATCAATCAAAAAATACCAGCAGGGTTTTTCTGGTAAATGAGGAAATTTGAATTTCTCAAAATGCACTTGATGAAGAATACCTTCAATTTTAGGAAACACTAATTTAACAGATATTCTATTTAAGAACCACAAGTCATTTTTCATTAGATTTTTCATGTTCTGTTGATGAATATTTAGATGAGTAGACAGGGTGATGTATAGATATGGAGACATGATGAAAACACTTGGCATTTTGTGGCGTATGGAATCACTGTGGCATACAGAATCATGACTATGTTTTGTGGTTGAATTCTATATGTTAGACTTCTTTATGGCACCAGGCTTGTTTATGGCACCATATTTCAGGACAGTAAATCTTGAAATTTTGTCAACTAGGCTATTGAGTGAGAGGTAGAGGTATACTTGGAGTTTTCTTTTTGTAGAAAATGGAAATGCAAAAGCACTAATTAGAAATCTTGTCCGAAATGTTGAAAATCTTGTCATTTTTTAAACCTCAACTTTTAAAATGTATAATAAGCCTCAAATTTATAATTGTGGCATAACATACATAGAAATGACCATGAAAATACCATTATCACATATCAGTATTATCAGTGAAGGAAGTCTCCATGTGTATCTTTTGAAGACAAGTAAGATGTACTGGTACAAGCAGTTTAAGCTGTTTCTGTTTTCCTTTATAGATTTTCATGTGCCCCATGTCTGTATCATATAAATTGTTCACAATATCTTAATAATTAAAGTAAGAATTGACACTCATATTTTTGCTTGGTCCCAAAATAGCTACCTGACCAGTCTTCAGGTAGTTATATGCACCTACTGTATTAGGTTTTACAAGTTGCTTATCTGTTTTCAAGCTTAACCAAAAGAAAACATTGATCAATGGAAAAGATTAATTTTTCTCAAAGGGTTTGAGCAAATTATTTCAGAGACAGGTAGAAAATAATTACTTGAGGAAATAAAATGTAAGGTAATTGTTCTTTGAAGTCTGGTAGAAAAGCAAAGTAAGTTTTGAGCATCAAGAGTTCAATTAAAATTTTGTCAAAATCAGAATATTTGCTGAGGCTTTATTCTGGAAAGCAAATCTTTAAGGAAGTCAACATCATCTAAATTCAAATGGAGGAGTTACAACTAAACAACATATGAAAGTTATAATAGAACTGCATAAATGCATATTTGCAGCATGTCATGACAAATCATACAGCTTCTTTATTGATTTTAGAAACATCAAGTTCTTACTTTGGAAATCCAAGTTGTTGATACATAGTTTTACTAGATATGTGACTAATAAATATTTAGGCCAATATGAAATAAGAATCTGTTTCAGAGTTACCAACTAACCTGGACTGGGGTTCTTACTCTAAAATGAAAAAGCAGAAGTCTTATTGTGTACATACTTGCTTCCTGTATATCACTTTTATATAATAGGGCTCTCTCTCAAATGATGGAGTTTAGTAGCTTTCACTAGGCTTTCTCATTTCTTATATTTTTTAATTGGTGGTATTATAACTATTTAATTTTCCAAATTTCATGAGCTTAAATTATGGGACTTTTCTCTGAGTTAATAATTTTATATTTTTGAGGTAATTTTGAAATTCTTTGGACTTTTTCAGTCAGTAAAATTTAAGGTATTCTGAGAACAGGATTTTAATATAGCACTAAAATCTAATAGTAATAGGATATATTGTTTCTGTTCATGATCGCCATTTTCACTTAATCATAATTTTTAACTTCAAATTGTTCCAGCTCGAGTCTTTGTTGTAAATGTTTTTTTTAGTATCACCAAAATGTAAAGAAAACAAATAATCATCATAAAACGAGCTTGGATATGACGAAGTAGTTTTAACTCATAGATCACTTTTGTATCTTAAAGGTTCGTGAAGTTGCCATACATGTATTTTAAAATTATATAAATTTATCCTCATTGATTCTAGCTCAAAATTTTTTGATGGACAAAATAATAGATTAAAGCAGAGGTGGCGTTAACGCAATTTTTTACGTTTTTTACTCACATTTTTGCAACTCTGACGCAAATATTCATTGTCTACCGAGTCTTTCTGACGCACGTTTGTTCACATGCAAAATCCCCGCTTGGTACTTGGTTAAATTGATCCCTATACGTGAAAATACGTGATTCGTGATCAAATTCATAATTTTGCTAATTCCGGAAATCTAACATTTCGTTCAGCGCAATCGAGCCTCCTTCCTACCGATCATTTTCTCCATTCGGTATTTCATATAATTTTTAAAGCCCTGTGATTCAGATTCAATGATAAACTTGAAAACATTGATCGATCCCTTGATTTGTTTATCTCGTGAAGCACGTTGCTAGGGGGCGTATCAAAAATGCAATAAAACGAACATAACATTGAACAATAATTTATTAATTTCATACTCCCTTCTAAGGATTTTAGTGATCGTATATTTATCTAAATTACCGCATAAAATCTTCCCTTGAATGTTCACACGCTAGATTTACGAACCTTTAGTTTCCTTCGCAAGTTCGCAAAATTCCTTCGCTAAGTAAGCAAGTTTCCTTGAGCCGTCCCCTTCATCAGCATGCGCAGATGTAATGCGCAGTAGGTTTATCAATGGTGCTCACAGTGACCGATCTATCGTAAGTTTTCACCAAGTATTTTCAATTAACTCCCTCAAGTTAAGATCTTCGATTCACTAGATCTGAAGCTGATCCTATGAAGATAGATAATGGGCACATGAAAATCCAGTCGATCGCACATTAAGGGGGGTAATGATGATAAATTAGGTATGAAAACAAATCTACTTTCGGTTTCATTTGATCAGCTATAATTACAAGATTCTACCGTATTCAATTTAAATGATGCCCAGTATTGTAGTCGGACTTATATTGCCGTTTTAGACTTTGGAATGATTGCAAAAATGTTGAATTTCAACATGAAACGCTTTGACCCCAATTTGTGTAACTCCACACAGGGAGAAACTCCTCTCCCACTCCATTCACACCCATGACTCGCTGGACCAGATAATCAGATGATTAATAGTGACATTTTTCTTGCAATTGCCTAATTAATTAATTGTTAGTTGTTAATGTGCTATAAGAGTACAATAAAAGGTATGCACAAAATCAAAAAATAGATTTTGTATGTGGTTTCTACATTTTGTATGCATTTTTACTCAAGAAAAACACTTTTATAGCTTTGACTCAACTTTTTTTCTTGTGACTCACTTTTTTGAAACTACCTGAGTCATGATGACTCACAAAAATATATGCCTACCGCCACCGCTGTTAAAGCATCCGTAAAATATAGTTTAGAGGTTCTTTTTTAGAAGTTTTTTGGAGGATAAATTATTTTATAGATATTTTTATCACATTTTTTTTATAAGTATATTCTCATTTTTATTTAAGTATATTTACATTTTTTGTAATTGTATACATGTTTTCACATTTTTTTTTACAATTGTATATTCACATTTTAATTCAGCTTCATTCCTATTCATCCAAAATTGTGTGATCCCTGGAGCAATCTTTTTGTACAACGGACCACAAATATTACCTAGTTTGGAGACCCCACAATCTCCTTCCATCAAATACATGGAATTCATTAATATTAATCCCCCAGGGTAGCATTCAGTTGTGAGAAAAATCTAGGGTATCGTTTTTTGTCCTTATCCTCACCCCATAACCTTCACCTCCTTTGGTGCAAGTCAATTAATCAGATCTACAGCAGACAAAATCACTGTATTCACTGATTCAGGGTGGCCAGGCTATTATTGCATGCTATATTACCCTGAAGAGTTCAATATACCCTGGATCCCAGAGGATTGTACAAGATGAAACTCTCTTTTAAAGAAGCATAATTATTCTAAACTATTTAAAAGGGTATTGTTGATATACATACCAAAATTTGCTTTTTGTATATTTTTCTCGTGAATTTTTGAAAGAATTATATTAAACATATTTTGAACCTTTCTTTTTTTGTTGTACAATGTTTTTTTATTTTTTTATTTAGTTTTTATTTAATCACATGGTAATTGATTCTAAGCTTAAAATTGCTTACAAGGATTAGGCTTTCATATAACAATTGTCCTTTTCTGAATTTTAACATGAAAAAGTATGTCTGCATGGTATTCCATATAGCAATGGATGCATCTCAAGAAAAATGTTTTGTATACAGTTTGGTTTTAATAGAATCTATGAGTCAGTTGGCCTCTCCTACACTTACAAGCGCATCCCGCATCCCTGGGATAATAGGTATGAAATTTCTTATTTTTAGCAACAAATGTAATATCTAAATATTTATTTTTATATGTAAGTATGAGTGACATATTGTAAATGCATAAATCAGGTAGATGAAAACATGTCAACATGAGATTTTTACCTGGATAGCATTGAGCCCATCTTTTAGAAGCTTTATTAGACTCTATTAGTGAGATTACTTATTGGGTTGTCCTCACTGTGACCCTTATACATCCAGGCCTTGTGAAATTAATAAAATCATGCATAAAACACTGGCAAAGTAATTAATAAGGTTGTAGAATAGAATTAGTATGAGGACTTCATAGCCGGTGTATTTTTGTGATAGTACACTTAACCTGCTCAGGTCATGCACATATTTAATGTGTTCAAACTGGAGCTTTAAATCGCTCATTTTTTTCCAAATTAAAGGACGATTCTCGGTTTGGAGAACAGTCTCCTGGGCTAATTTTTTTTTTCATGAAAAATATAGAAATATTACCCAAATTAAACTATGAATATTCAAAAGAGGACATTTAAATCTACAAGATGTAAAAATAACAAATTGGTCTGAAGCAGGGATAACGCTCAATTTGACCGATTCAATAAAATACAAGTCTCGATTTGGGGGAAAAAGTTCATCAGTGTACTGCGCTAATATTTTTTTGCGAAAAATCTAGAAATATTACCCAAATTAAATTATGACTATTCAAAAGAAGATATTCAAATCTATATTATGTAAAAAAATCAAATTTGTCCGAAGCAGGGATAATGCTCATTTAGATTGATGAACTTCGTTCTCCAAACCGAGAATCGTCCTTTGTTATATTCTAACAGTATTCCTGGTCTAGTTACAATATCCATTTTCAATAAATCAAAATAAATTTGAAATTAAATTGAAATTCATGATTGCATCTAATGATCCCATGTATTTAGATTTTTATAGCACCACTAAATTCTGTTCATTTTTGCTTTTCTTGCTAACATGATTTCTTTTGATATTTAGATGGTACATATTGGATATGCACGGGCTTCACTAGATTTTCTCAAAACAGGCTAAGTAAATGAAAACAACTGGCAAAATTAATGTAAATCATAAATTTAACATGGAAATGTTGAAAAGTTCCTAAAAACAACAGGCGATTTTGTGAAAACAACCGGTGAAAATTGTCTGCTGCTAATAAAACCCCTGGATATGTGTTTGAAATTTGAGTTGAAATTTGAAAGTGTGAGATTGACCAAAATGACTTTGAAATCAATATTCAAATGTAGTATTTATGACATACAAGTATTAACAGATTTCCAATTACATCTGGAATCCGCCACTGGATTGGAAAATGATGTATTTTAGAAATTTGACAATACCAAACCAATGTTAGTCAGTTTTTTTTATTTTATTTATATTAGGCTGGACTTGATAAGTCAGTGGGGTATGTTAATCATTTCCCTTTACTATTAGTGACTTGACAACTCTAGTCCTGCTGCCAGGACTGGACTACTCTAGTCCTGCTGCCAGGACTGGACTACTCTAGTCCTGCTGCCAGGACTGGACTACTCTAGTCCTGCTGCCAGGACTTGACTACTCTAGTCCTGCTGCCAGGACTGGACTACTCTAGTCCTGCTGCCAGGACTGGACTACTCTAGTCCTGCTGCCAGGACTGGACTACTCTAGTCCTGTTGCCAGGACTGGACTACTTTAGATCAGTAGTAGATTTAATTTTGCTGGCAAGACAGACAAATCTAGCTTTAAACCAAGAATTGACTTTTCATTGAAGTATAAATAGGATAATTAAATAGGTTATGATTTTTTATTCTCTATCAATATAGAGAATAATAATATAAAATAACATCATGTTTGTTTTAATATTTTTATTTCAGAAAATACTATGTTACAGGGTGTTTCAATTCTATTTCTAATATCTGTACAATCACACATGTAATGCATTTGTCTTTAATTCAATTACAAAAGTAGGTTCTGTTCTTATGAAGTGTTTATTTACATGAATTGTGTGATAATATCATCATGGTTATTTCAATAAAGTTATATATTTTATTTCAGGAAATACTGTGTTACAGGGTGTTTCAAATCTATTTCTATATCTGTACAATCACACATGTATTAAACATGAAATGCATTTGTCTTTAAATTCAATTACAAAATGACAAAAATAGGTTCTGTTCTTATGAAGTGTATATTTACATGAAATGTGTGGTAGTATCACCATGGTTGTTTTAATAAAGTTATATTATTTATTTCAGGAAATACTATGTTACAGGGTGTTTTGATTCTATTAAAATATGTACTGTATTTGTCTTTAATTTGATATTTGACAATAAGGAAAATGCTATAATCTCCATAATAATTGCACTTTTTAACTTGTATATTTTACTGTACTTCCAGGTGATGGTGTTTTGCTATGCTTTCTTCTTCAACCTCACCAAGCTTTAACTACTCACCATCTACACCTTAGACCTTTACCAACTACCACAATAAACTAACTGTCTGTCTGCCTGGTGTGCTTATCCTGTGTAGTACCTACACCCTCACCCTCACCCTGCATGCTAACAAAGCAACAAGATTATAGATTGTAGAACTAGATAGATAGTCTGACTGTTTACTTCTTTTACACTTTCTGCACCTTTATTGTACCTTGCTATTCATGTAATCCCCATGTAAAACCTGCAATATTCATGACATTACTGCATTGCAGCATTGTTAGTTGACTGTAACATCCAGCAATGTTTAAATAATAATGGAAAAGATTAGTGCATACTGACATAAAACTAACAAGTGTGTTGTAAATTGTACTGAAAACGTCAGTGTCATTTTTGAAGTTCAAACAATGACTTTAGCAGATTTATGATGTCATCAATTAACGTTGAAAAATTATGAACAGTTAGGCATCAAAAAGTTATCATTTAAACTTGAAGCAATCTGAAAATATATTCAGAAAAATATTAATTAAGGATGTTCAATTCCAGAAAATGTGATCCCTAGTATTAGAAATGTCGATGAGTGAAAATCAAGTTTTAAGATGTGTTTCAAATATTTTCAAAATTGGTCAAGTTTTTCCGATTGCTTCAACCAACTGATGTCTAGTGACAGTATCAATATTTGTAACCGTGCTCATCACATAGAATGGTCACAAGGAATGAGCGAGCTTAAAACATTGAACCCCATGTATACAGGTTTAGTTAACCTTAAATGCACATAGCGTAATATTAATATCAAAAGCATTAACAATCAAATGATAAATGCTAAAAGTGTTATACCCTCGATGTCAAACATGTATACAATGATGTTATACAGCAGAGGTTAATTAGTGTATCCCCAATCACCTAATCACCAGGAAATCTTCCCTTGATCAGAATACTTTTTGATGATGATTAGTTCTGTTTTTTGAATTCCCTTTTAATGTATTGCTTTTGTGAGTTTAACAATTTCTGGAATTTTGCTGAAAGGTGTATGTCCGAAAGGGGTTGTCCGTCCACCGTTATGCTTATATCTACGTCAATATCTCCGTCATCTGCTTGGCCTTGTGAATTAACAAATTTGTGAAAGCTCCTTGACGTACTGACATTCCATTTTTCATCTGAAAATTAACATGTGAAGTATTTTGTTACAATAAAATCTTTTGCTAAATTGTTTATATTTCAATTGATTTTAAAACATTATACAAATAGCATGATAGCGGCTGTCATTTTGGCACTATTTCTTGGAAAGGTGGCAGTCACTATTTGTTCATTATATACCCCATAGTACTCTGTAAACAAAAAAAGAATAAGAAGTCTTAATTTCAAGATTTAATGCTTACAGGTTCTTAAAGGCATTTGCCAGGTTCTGAAAGGCATTTGCCATTCAACCCCTATAATCCCTGCTAGAGGCACTAGAAGGTAGATAAAAAAAGTTAATGACTGTTGATATGACGTAACTGGTACTTAATAGTGCGTTTTTATGTAAGCAGGGATTTGGGACTTTAAGGGTGTTTTAAGTTTATCTATTTCACATCATGTGACCATGACTAAGCCAATGAGCATCTAGAATACATATGGGGTACTATATTAATATACAAATAGTGACTGTCATAGAGGGAAATAGTGAAAAATAACCAGTTCACTGACATGTTCCCGAGGCTGCAGTCACTGGTGATTAGTACAATTCATCTTCCATGATACTAGCATCTTCCCCACTAGAGATTTATATATTAGGATTTTCCAAAAAATGATTTCGTATCATGCGAGCATAATTAAGCCACTAAGCATTTTGATTACTAATAATAAAAATAAGTTTACCACAAAATTCATTCAAACTGTCCAGGGTGACCATGTTGCGATTCACCGCCTCTTCCCATGTCACCTGGCTAATCTCATTCCATTCATGAATGAGCTGTGTCTGCCTCTGCTTTAAGTTCAGCCAGCTCTCTGCGTTGTGAAGTGGCCCAGTACTTGCCATTTGGAGGGCCTGGCGCCTTATCTCTCGATCGACGGAATTGCTAGTGATTCTCTGGAAGAACTGAAGATAAATATGCATTTAGTAAAACTAGTTACTGTAGTTCAACAGTCATGACATTGGTAATTCTCGTTAATAAATGAAACCCTTTTTATTTCTTTTAGTCTTTTACTAAATTCTGTTCCCTTTGATCACGTCATTAGTGAGCACAAATAATAGTCACAGCTAAATGCTCGCCATCTCTGTACTGTGTGCTGTGATGGGCATCTAATCTCCAGCAGATCAACTCTACTGTACCCTGCGAGTCGAGTTAGAAGACGAAGCTCTCTTTTAAAAAGCGAAGTTGAACGAATGCAAACGAAGGGTAACACTACTGCTACTGTTATTATTTTGAGCAATTGAAGTTACATTTCATATAAGATGGTACCAGCTTCTGGACCTAATAAACATCTGACTGTATTGTTAGTGAGCATTTTTTTCTGTAACTAAAACTAAATACCTTCTGAGGAATGGACCCATTGGGATTTCTGGCCTCGTACATTGTAAATGCCTCCTCCACACGGGCCCATTCCTCATCCTGCAGTCTGGACACAGCAATGATGACAGTCATGCTTTCCTCCTTTAGAAGCTACAAAACAAGCTAAACTGTCAGTTTACAATATAAACGAATATACAGGATCAATAGTTTCACCATTTAAATAAGCAATTTTTATCATTAAAATTCTATTGACGCCTTGTATTGACTGTTGCATGTACTTCTTTATACATTTTTATATATTCTTTGTTATTGTTATAAACGTTTAGGCCATGCACTAATGATCAGTGGGCGTGCCAATAAATAAATAAAATGTATCATTACATGATTGCATTAGTCACAGTTAAATATGTAAATAGGAATGGACCAGAGTAGTTGCACAAATATTATTCCCAAAGTCTTTACATTATTAAAACATGTTGAACTTATTATAATGCAGAAATATCATAAAACTAAGTTTTCAAAATCGCACTATTCTCGAATTTATTACATCATGACATTGATAATCAGTGTTGTCATTAACAGCCGGTCCACTGGTCATCATCTGGTTACTTTTGATACGGACCAGTTGATTTTTTCACTAGGTATAGGAAAATAACATTGCAACTGGTCCGTAATATCATTTTGACCAGCAGGTTTCAGCCCCTTAGTGTCTACACTGTTGATAATGTTTACCTTTGATTCAATTGTGCCAAAATGCTGTGCTAGTTTTGTTCTCAAAATTGTGATAGGTATGTCTCTATTCTTTAAGAACAAGTCACGCGCCTGCCGACATCGATCCTAAAAGTACAAATCCATTCATAAATGTTAACTAAAAAGTATCAATGAATCAATCTGAAATTGATGAATTCAAACTTTGTTAAAAAGTTTAAAGAGTAACTATGCATGTTTAATTTTTTTTAAATCAAATGAAGGATAAGAATCAATGCAATTTCTGTCATGCAATTACCTGGAAAGTTAATTTAAAGGTTGCCATTTTGCTATTGTGGTCATTTGCGATAGCTCTCGCCTCTTCAACGTCAAGGCCCATATAAATATGGACGGTAACTGTGCTGGAAAAACATAACAAAGTCATTGCAAAAACTAATTTTTTGTTTCGAAATGTATGATCAACCTGAAATGACAATTTTGTCACATATTTGGCTTTATGTAATCTTCCTTCTCAAAAAGTCAAATAGGAGACAGGGGCGTAGTTTTCTGTGCGATCTTGGCATTCAAAAGTTTCAAATGAGATGTGGCGTACGTTTTAAAGCTATTTTTCTTCTATCTAATACTTTTATTTATATATTTTTTGCGTTTGTTATGCGTTCTCAGTTGGAAATAATTGCCTCATTTTCCTCATGACAGTAGTAGTGTGATGCCCCCCCCCAAATAAATATAAGTTCAGGTCGTTTGGATCTATACGATCTGTTGGGATCAAAAGTTTCAAATGAGATCAGCCTACGTTTTAAAGCTATTTTTCTTCTGTTTAATCGCTTTATTTTTTATATTTTTGGGGTTTGTTATGCGTTCGCAACCCTTGTTATGCCTATTCATTGCAGAAATAAAGTCTCAGAAAGCCTCAGAAAATATCATATTGACACTCGGGCTATCGCCCTCGGTCAATATGATATTTTCCTTGGCCAATATCATATTTTCCCTCGGAATAAAATCCATATTCCATCCCTCCCATTAAATAACCTCTATAAATTGAGACATATTAGTAATTGTTATTTGTTTGAATTTATAATATGAAGTAAATTACCCTAAAATCTCAGTTGGAAATAATTGTCTGACTTTCCTCATGGCAGTAGTAATATGATGCCCCCCCCCCAATAAATACAAGTTCAGTTTGCTTGGATCTATACGATCTGTTGGGATCATTTGTTGGTCCTTCCACAAAGCGACGACGGGAAGAATGGTTGACAATCTGGTGTTGTTGGCAATGAGCCTCTGATAAAGGACCTGCATGAAAATATAAAAGAACAAGGTGAAAGTCCTGCTTACAAAAAAACTTGTTCACCGAATCAACATTATGTGGATGTCATTTCTTTGGTCATTCTTTTTACTACCTATTGAGTCCCTATTGCGTTCATCATTTTCGGAATATAATATATGACATTTTGATTGATCTCTCAGGTTACTGTACAATGCATTTTTGGGGAGTCTCAGTTATTTCCTCAGTTAAAATCAATTAAATGATTTACAAACACTTTAATATTTTGAATGTTTGCATTATGTATTTCATTCACATCTATAATGGTGATATGTGCTTAATGAACATAAAACTTACATTCACCCAGGACTCATTCAACTCCCTTACTCGGTGGGCTGGCAACGCATTGTTAATAGTGTCTATTGGCACTGTAAACTCTCCTGAAACATGACAACATTGATATTGGTTTGACAAAACACTATTGGACAAAGATAGATGCGTTTTAGCTTTTGAAAGATAACATGCAGGTAACACTAAAAGACCGATCGCAGACCAGTCAGCCTCTCCGCTTAGTTCCGAGGGAAAATATGATATTGTCCAAGAAAGATATCTTATTCCATAATAACAACTTTTCCCTGGGAAAATAACAGTGAATAAAATTGATATTCAAAAAATCCCGTATCAGATCCCGTATCATAAATATTCCCGGGGATTTTTTCATTTTTCGATATGTTTTAAAGCTTCTCAATTAAAGTTGAAAACGTTATATGATCAATCAAACTGTATCATGTCACCATCATTGGGTGATGACAAATCGATATTGAAAATAATAAGTAAGTTTCAGAAAAAAATATTATAGAATAAATAGGTTATTGATGGTCGTGATGGAATATGAATTTTTACCTCTAGAAAATATGATATTGGCTTCGGAAAATACGATATTTTCCTCTGCCAATATTATATTTTACCTAGGAATAAAATTCGTATTCCATCCCTCCCATTATATAACCTCTATATATTGACCGACTTTATTAAGAGAAAAGAAAACGAACAGAAACAGGTTCAACATGTTACATAATGTGGGGATTCAGTATTTTTATAATAATTATGAAATCATATTATTATCACAATTTCAGCTATTATGAACAAGTTTTAAAATAGAAACGACTTCTAATTTTGGATTGTTCTATTAAGGGATCTGATACAGGATGCAATTCGGGATATTTGGAATATCAATTGTATTACTATTCCATTATTTTGGAATAATTGAATATTACCCTATTCCCTCGAAATATCGCAAGATCTCAAATTGTAAAATTTGTTTCAGACGCCGAACCCCGTCCAATGACTACAACAATTGTATTATCAATTTTAGTTTCATGATTAGATTGTTTCCTCACTTCCGAGGAACACTTGAGGGTCAAAATTCATAAAATCAGGATATCGATGTACCTTTAAACTTCTCTTCAAACTTTGACGTCTGGATTTTATCTGCCACAGATTTACATATTTTATTTGGGTGATCCAACACTTCTGCGATTGTCCTCTTTCTCTTACTTGGAGGTACATCAATGCCTGGGTAATCAAAATAAACGTAACCACTTAATTCTATTTAAAGGTGCAACAATTAGTTCAGAGGGGCCTTCAACGATCATATACCAATGTCAAAATATATTTAAGTTTGATATTTCATCAAGACTAACATATACAATCTTATGGAGGCCCTGTAGGAGCTTTTGTCAATTCAAAGGTCAGCCAAAGGTCAACTTTCAAACTTAAGGTCATATAATGACTCGGGAAAACTTGTGGATGAGGGTTGAAATGTGGGGTGAAACGTCTTGATAAAATAATTGAATTCAAAAAAATTATCAGCGGAACGATTGAATCTGTTCTATTCTTATTAGAGTTCTTTCTCAATTACGTCGTCCCTGTGGCCATGATAAGGAATTTATATTTGATAAAATGAATCAAAACTATTAGAATATTTTGCTTGTGTATTTCCATCTTGTTTTCAAATTATATGCTTATCATAACGTATCTAATGGAATTGGGTCATTACTTAATATATTATGCAGCAAACTGTACATATGATTTGTTCGTATTTAATGAATTTTCCTCGTCCGCCATTTTTATATAGTTGCTCACCGTGGGTATGGGATATTTTGACATGTTATCTTGAATTTCTTAGTACTCAAATAATGTTGTTACTTGATCTTTTTCATATTTGTATAACTTTTTAAATCTTCCGATATATTCCTTGAATAGAAAAACACATACTTTTTAGAATTGACCTGATTTATTATCAAAATTTTGTATTTTATTTAATCACAGATCTAGATTGAAATTAATACTTACCTAGGCAATCAGCCATGCAGTTCAGAAACTGCCGGTTTGTTTCTGATTTCTCCAATACGTCGGTCAGAGTTAGCCTGCTGGAGAACTTAAGCCTGTTTACCTCTTTCCCTGCCTGTTGGTTTTCGAACTTTAGCTGGAAGAATAAGTTAGGTCGACGTGATCGGTGAACTATCAGCAAACTTACTTTCTTTTGTGTATGGTATGATATGGTATGGTATGGTATGGTATGGTATATGGTATGATATGGTATAGTATGGTATATGATATGGTATGGGGTATGGTATGGTATATGGTATGCTATGGTATATGGTAAACGGAATGGTATGGTGTATTGTATGGTGTATGGTATGGCGTATGGTATAGTATGGTGTCTGCTGTATGATATATGGTGTATGGTATGATATGGTACATGATATGGTATGGTATATGGAATGGTATTGTATATGGTATGGTACCTGGTTTGGTATGATATGGTATGGTATGGTATATGGTATGGAATGGTCTATTGTGTGGTATGGTGTATGGTATGGTATATGATATGGTATGATGTATGGTATAGTATGTTGTATGGTATGGTATGGTGTATGGTATGGGATATGGTATGGTGTATGGTATGGTCTATGGTGTGGTATGGTGTATGGTATGGTATATGATATGGTATGGTGTATGGTATGGTATGGTGTATGGTATTGTATGGTCTACGGTATGGTCTGATATGATATGGTATGGTGTAGGGTATAGTATGGTGTATGGTATGGTATGGTGTATGGTATGGGATATGGTATGGTGTATGGTATGGTATGGTATGGTATGGTATATTGCATGGTATGGTATGGTGTATGGTATGGTATGGTCTATGGTATGGTATGGTATGGTCTATGGTATTGTATGGCCTATTGTACGATATAGTGTATAATATGGTATATGGTATGATGTATGGTATAGTATTGTGTATGGTATGGTATGGTATATGGTATGGCTTATGGTATGGTGTAGGGTATGGTGAATGGTATGGCTTATGGTATGGTGTAGGGTATGGTATATGGTATGGCTTATGGTATGGAATTGTCTATGGTGTGGTATGGTGTATGGTATGGTATATGATATGGTATGGTGTATGGTATAGTATGGTGCATGGTATGGGAGTTTGGGATCATTTAATTTGAGGAAGTAAATGCTTTGTTAATCATTGTGCCAGTATTATAAATATGTCATCTTATTGTAGGTAAAACCGGGTGCTTACAACACGTTGTCACTGCTCCCCCTTCGCTATAAATTCTTTTAAAATCATCTAATTAGACTGGAAATACAATAAAACTGTTCTTACTGTAATAAGGTTGGCCCCAGAGCTGAACCGCGCTGCGATGAGTTTCCCAAATGGTAGTCCTTTGATGTCTGTGGCCTTGACTCCTGAGTCGCCAATAGATAGGTAGAAACTGCCAGCATCGTTAATGATGGACCAGCCCGGGTACTGTCGAACTTTAACTGAAATAACGTTAAATCATATGGATGGAACATGAATGTTAAGTTATACGGTTCATAATTAACACATCTAAGGAAACGCATAACATTATTAGGCCTCATTAATCATGTTATGGCTATAACAACTGATTACCCAAAATTGTAGCTAAAAAAATTCAATGCACAGAATGATGTCTACCAATGCATTAGTCAAGTTACCTTTAGAATTCTTCGTTGAAGGCTTCATCATCTGCTTTAAGGAATTGCTCAGCTCCGCTAACATGTGGCTGCAACCTGAAGTAAAGGAACCAGAACGTATTATTACTTATTTGGATGTGCATTTGACAGTAATTCCTAGATGAAATATTGTTTTTAATGGGAGGTTATGGATACAGGTTATATCCCGGGGGAAATAAAGAAAATGCACTGAAATTCTAGTATACGAAGATGCAACTCAGATATCGACTATAACACCACTAATGCCTGGGTCACAAATGCTGCGATTCATCGGCCGGCGCCCGGCCGATTGAGTATTTTGTTTCGGGTAAAGACCTGTATGAGGGGTAATGGTCCTAATTACTTGATGCCCATGAAAACAATGAGAATACCTACCTTGACTACTATCTTCTCCGTCACTGCTTTCCACACGGATGGTCTGTGGGGGAATAGTAGGACTGCAAGCACCTAAAAAACAATTATTTACTCTATTGTAGATATACTTAATTTAGCTCCTGATTTAATATGGCGAATGGGGAACATTTATTTAGTTACTGCAATGAGTGGCATAAAACAATGAAAATACCTACCTTGATTACTAGAAATATCTTCTCCGTCACTGCTTTCCACACGGATCTGTGGGGGAATAGTAGGACTGCAAGCACCTAAAAAACAATTATTTACTCTATTGTAGATATACTTAATTCAGCTCCTGATTTATATGGCGAATGGGGAACATTTATTTAGTTACTGCAATGAGTGACATTACTAGTATATTATCCATTTTAACACTTTTTGGTTTTCTACGTAAAAATATGCACAGGTGCTATTTTTATCAAAGTACCCAGATTAAAAAAAAATCCGAAATATCATAAAAAATGTAAGCTTAAACGTTTTCAAAAAATGGCATATTTTACCATCATCTGCATCTGTCCCTTCAGATGGACTGAACCAGGAAGGCGTTGAGTCCATCATCACTCCTCAGTCTCTGATAGCTGAAAGTAGAATTGATAATTAGCCTAAATTGTCAGTTCTCTTAACAAGTCTAGTCTAACAATAATAAAAGGGATAAGTCATTTCGATATGTACATGGTCATAGTCATCAATAATCTGATTTTAGGTCATCAGTGCTTTCCCGTAGCATGGGAGGGCGATCGGCTTTTTGATATTTTTGACTATGCAGTGAATCAAAAGTGAAACCTGGAATTCTTTGAAAAAAGTGAACCCCACTTGGCCAATCCTTGGCTGGCAACGGACCTGTGGTCTATAAGCTTACTAATAAAATATAAGCATAGCCTAGATATTTATTGTGTCTATTGAAAATAAAATATACTTACATACAGTTACACCTTTACTAGCCTCTTCTTTATACTATTACTATTACTATTACTATTAGACTATATCATATGTGACTATGCGCGTATGTGAATAATGGCGGGCGGTCTATAGTAGGCTATCCCTTTTGCGTGTGACGTCGTTGCCTCAGTATTCGTGACGTCGTAGCCTCAGTATTCGTGACGTCGTAGCCTCAGTATATTGGAGATTTGATGATTACCGTTGCTAACAACCTAGTAGTGACGTCACAGTTTTGCCTAACATTCCAAATTTGGGCCTCGCATTTGTGACGTTACTTTCCCGAACTAAAACATAACGCCATTATCATAGGATTTTCGGGAGTCTACTAGGGTTTCGCTCCAGCTCAGCTGTTAATTCATGCATATCTGTGGGCGGTTATCATGAAACCACACCGATGGACGTTGACCAACAGCAGGAAGGTAAGCTCACTCCCCCTGACTGGTTGTTCATTGTTAAACATTCAGTGATTCACGCATCTTATCTTTCGACCATCGGAAAAGTCACATAAGTGACAAATAAGAGATAGCGATCGATGCCGGTGTGAAATATATTATGGTCCCCTTTCCTAACGGCCCTTACTGGCCCTTATTCAGTGTATAGCCTAAATAATAAGGAAAATAATGGTAATTAGGTCACCATAAAAATCAATCGAGAGTAGGACAATAATTTGATAGAACCACCTACCCTTTTACACCGGGGCCAATAATATCGACAATGCATTCATTCATTCGATTAAGGGTATTCCCCTTTCAACAACTTCAAAGCATCTGAAACCAACGGGGAATCCCCTGCTCTGTTCAGCACATTTTGTGAGACAGTTGCCATAGTTTTATTGATCACATTCGATGAAATAATAGTATAATATTTTCAGATCATGAAGACGGTACCTGTAGCTCCATTTCGCTGGAGAGGCTACGTGTATATGCAGCGTCTAACAACAACAACAACAACAACAACAACATGGAGATGGAGCCAGACGAGGGCAGTGATTTTGATGAGGATGATATTTTGTTGTCGAACAAAATAGGTATGGAAGCAGTAAATAATGATGTAACCATTCATGCGTGTTATTTATTTATTTATTTATTTATTACTAATTTGAAATCATATGTGATCAAAGTAAGCACATTTTATATCAAACCTCTAAATTTAATTGTATATTCCATATTTTTATTGGCATTATCTATCTTTTTTACAGAGGAAGCCTTTGTGAACAAAGCATCAAAGAAACATAGTAAGTCAGTTCAAAAAGTCATTTCCTTAATAAAAGAAACAACATTTCATGCTACTTGTAAGTTAGATCACCATATATTATATAATAGTATGTATCTTTTATTGACATGTATCAAAACATACACGGCTACGACTAAAACTTCGACTACATCATTTACATCATCAGAACAAAATTCATATAATAAATATTGACAGCATACAAAAAGGCAAACAAATTTAAAGTGTGATGTGCAGACTATGCTTAATATTCTATATTGTCCCTGTTTGCATACAAACTATTTTATGTATTTTCAGATCCTAAACTCCTGTCTATTCAGCAATTAGTTGCGGTGTTTTGCTGCTCGTTTTGTTGTTTGGGCGGACTACTTGTGAGTAGACATAGATACCTTTATTTTGAGTAAAGATAAAATTATCAGTTACATTTTAAGTTAAGGTCAGTGTGTACGTTCGTCCATTTGTAACTTCAACGAAGATTGCATATAAATTCTGGACATACAAAACTACCTTAAACTGAACGCACTGTTTGATTGAATGAACACGATACAGTATGTACATAATCATAGTCATCAATAATCTGATTTCAGGTCAGCAGCATGAGTGATTCCAGGCAATACTTCCAGGGCCTGACTGCAACTGAAAAGCACCAGTATGTGCTTGATACACTTAAAAGAACCTCAAGGTATTATCAATAATTAAGGATTTAAGCAATTGGCTCAGTGTAATGACTATTTAGTACTAAACAAAAATTTCAAATAGGCCTTAGTTACGCTTTAATCTCCTGTTTAAGAACCCCTATTCTTACTTTCGAAAATGTATTCTAGCAATACTATCCAACATGAATCTACTTGTTGTGATTCGATAAACTTTGGCATATATCAATGTTCGTGCATGAAATTTTCTGGAAATATTAATAAAATTAAATGTTTGGCGACACTATGTATCAAGTTTGGTGTTCTAACTCCAATTAGTTCCTGAGATAGAGCTCTGTTTGCGTTATTTGTTGATCACCCCTTGTATCAAGGCAACAAGCATTAAGAAGATTGAATTCAGTCCAAAGCTTCAAAAAGGAGAAATCCACTTTTATATTTTTAAGATCCACCATGTTTCAAGAGGAATATCAGCTGAAATATGGTAGGGGGAATACGAGTAGAGTGCGTATTCCAACAAATCTGACTCTGAACGTACAGACTTTCACCAGTGTGCATTCTAACGGGTACAGATTCTCATCAGGGCGCATTCGAAACAGTAGAGTAAATCGTACTTGCTGGCAGTATTGATTATCTTAAAGGCAGAATCAGATCTATAGGGGTGACAAAATTACAAGCAACATGTACAATTGACCTACCAATCTATTCTGTACAATCTCAATTACAATACCTCCCAAAAGATTCACGATATGTTATAAATTGGTAAAGTTATCATGGATTCAAAGTGCAAAAATGAGTTAAAAATGTTTAAATTCTCCAAAATAATAAGAATGGTAACCATTCTTATAGAAAAATAATACATTATTGTAAAATCTTTAGTTTTCCTGAATTAAGTGTGCACTTTTGGGATTTTTGAAACAATTTTTTGTTGGGCCATAATCATCATACGTAAAAGCATCACTCTTTTGTATATGTTGTTAAAAGGCAGATAAATTAGCATCCATATGAACATTAGTTTCGCTATGTCAATCTGGTATTCCATGCCTTCCCATCCCAGTGGTTCGTATGCTAAGCTACTGGGCACTCCGCAAACTCAGGGAAGGATTGTATTTTCCTACCAATTTTCCGCTGTGACGTTTCCAATTTAATGTAATGTAATGCCGTCTTCATTCCTGCATGAGACTTAACTTGAAATAACATTTTTATGAACTTTCAGTTTTGATGAGAATGGCGAATACGAAGGAAGTTCCTTTTACATAGAAGGTTTACCCAACTATCCAATATGCTTGAATGCATGGCTGGCTATACTTGGACTGGCAAGCTCAACATTCTATGCCATTAGAAAGAGATTCATTGGTAAGTATAAGCAGTTTCATACTATAAAAATCATTATAATTAAGGCTTATTAATGGGACAAGGGCAAATTAAGAGCTAGCAACAACATATTAATAATTTTTGCAATTTTAATTATAGGAGGTAGTCTTTTGGCGCCTTTACCAAATGGGAGAGGACATGGGATACCGTCTATGGAGGCTATTGCTTGGATTGAAAGGTAACTGGTCCCATGAAATCTAATTTTAGAAGCCAAAAAGAACATTAATCTAGACATGTCCATCCGGCTTCAAAGGACTTCAATTATGCTTAAATTCAGCAATATATACTTCAGTTCTTGCAGCAACGATGGGCCCTTGCATTATTGATTGGCTGGGGGTGTTTTCCCCTTATAAACCTCATGTTTTTTAATACACTCAATGTTTATAATTCGTCAATTTCTTAGTTAGAAAGAGCTGTTTAAAATATCTACCGTGTAGTCCATTGTAAAGATTTGCTTATTACAGGTATGCAGCACAATTCGGTGACAAATTGCCTGATTCGTTGAATATACATCTGCCAGTGTGTTTGACAAAAACAGACATTTTCAATGACTACAAAACACACATGGGGGCGGAATCTCTGACAGTATCAGAATCAACATTCAGAAGGCTCTGGAAGCAATACTTCAGCCATGTAAAAGCTCCTAAAGTAAGAAATTATTCTTTATCATACTGTTATTACATTAGCCATTACATTTTTCTAATTAACATTTAAAACGTGGATTGATAATATTACAATTTCCATAAAGCTTTTGATTTTATTTGCATAAAGTATTTGTTTGTTACTTTTTATCCCATCGAACTACTTAAGAAGGCATTTTGAATATAGTACCTCATTTCTAATAGCGATGTTTGTTCAGTTTCTGCTGAATCTTTTGAAGCAAAGGCTATATACTATGTGATGTAAATACTGTATTTCACACATTTTGAATTGTAAATAGATTCTCAGTCACTGTCAGTGTATTGACTTTTGCAATTGCCCTGCCTATTTTGTACAGATGGCGTTGACGTGTACATTG